GCTTTTGAATAGTAATAGCTCCTATATTGTATTTACAATTTAGGACATACAATTTTAACTCTATTTTACATTCTAAAGTATTTTCTTACTTCTTCTCTTATATATAATACTTAAAATTAAATGGCGAAAAAGTATGTATCCAAGCTCCTGGAAAAAGATATAAGAAATGTGTTAGATTTGCTATTGAAATATGGAAATGTTTAAAAAAGTATTTAATATACAAGAATTATTGTTACCATGTATGTTCTTTGTTTAAGTTTGGAAAGAATTATTTAACTTTTGTAAATAGTATGGTTGTCGGATAAACCTTTATTCCTTTGGGACTTTTAATTACTTGTACTTTCCGACTAAGGTCGTCGTGTAAAGTCCACATCCCTTTTCCTTGTCCCTGCATTACGACAATATGGCCTATTCCCATTGCGATTTCCGACGCCGGAATCCGGCTCAGAGCCGTTGTACCAAGTTTCAACAAAATCCGTGATCCCAGACCCGTATAGTCCCCTTGTCAGTCACGGAAAGAGGGAACAGCTTGGCGCGATATTCAATTCTCGTTATTAAATTCCATCAATCGAGTAACCAAACAACATTTTGTCACTTGCCCGGAAAGATTCTTGTAGAAAGATCGTAATAAAGAGACTGACAAGGTGAAAAGTGCCCCATTAATAGGAGCAGCATGGGATAATTTTTTAATTACTATATGAAATTAACGTGATTATAAAAGATTATTTTTCAACTCTTTCTTTAATGTTTTTTGAAGGTCACCTTCAATTTTTTGCAAATAAACGTATAATCTTTTTACGCCTGTCTATTAGAGAATTACAAGACGAATTCGACAAATATCGGAACATAACTGTTTCTTTTGATTTGTGTCGATAAAATATTAAAAAACTTTGTATTACTAGGAGTATCATATGCTATGCCCTTGTACGCGTTCCAATGTTGTTGACACATCGAAATTTACCAAACTTAATTGTAGCGATTTTCAAAATGGTGTCCATGAGCTGTAATGCACTCGCGTAGACAGTAAATAAAAGATTGTCTAGTACTTTTTATATCCTCTATACTGGTGGCTGAGCATGCATTCACAATCCTTCGTCGCATATCTTCCGGTGTTGTTGGAGCATCTGCATAAACTTTTTCTTTTAATATACACGTAAAAAGTAATGTAATGGGGTAAGATCGGACGAACGAGCTGACCAATTAACTACAACACCACAGCCGATCCAACGTCTAGGGAAATTTTTGTCATGTACTTGACGGGTTACCATAGCATAATGTGTGAGGCAACCATCATATTGATACCACATGAGAGTACGATATATTATCGGCACTTCATCAAAAAGAAATTGAAACTCATTTTCAAGAAATGCAGCGTACTTTTGACCATTTAGAGTACCATTGATAAAGTAGCTCGGTGAAGTTGGCACCCCCAACTGCGAATTTTTACAAAAATCAAATTGCATTCGTTTGTCCACGTTTGTCCACGTTTGTCCAACCAAAATTTTCGTTTGTCCACCCCCCCAAAAAAAGTTATTAAAAAAAA